AAAAAAAAAAAAAAAAAAAAAAAAAAAAAAAAAAAAAAAAAAAAAAAAAAAAAAAAAAGAGTAGTAGCATAGCCGGAGGTGGGTGGACTGCAATCCTGGCCTAGATCGACGGACGGGCGACGTGTACCCGATGTGTATATACGTGCGCGTGCAGAGAGCCGCTCGCGCGAGAAAAAGAGAGCGAGATTAAGTGGACAGGCAGGTGTCGGGGATAAGACAGCTAATTCGATTATCGATCATCGAGTGCAAACAGTCGCACTTTCACTAGGGCTTCCTTCGCGCTCTCTGCGTTTGCACCCATCATACACAGATTGATGATGCCGATAAAGAGGTGGGGCGCAACGGTGTAACTATATACGGGTCTTTGAAAAAAAAACAAAAAAAAAAAACGCCTTTTAATCCTTTTCACCGGCCATTGCTCATCTCTACAACCTGTTCACTTAAATCTTTTTTTTTCCCCCTTCTATATTTCCATTTTCAATTCACGTTGTGGACACACATGAAGTATAGTACCACCAAGGGGAGAAGCCTCACATAAGTGGACACTCTGTATATGCGCCTCTACGCGTTTACGCATAATATATGCTTATAAAAGTCCGTTCGCGTCACTCGCAAGTGTAAGTATTTTTTAGGAGACTCGGGAGACACGCAATTTTCAAGTAGAATCAGAGTAGTTGAGATATAGCTCGGATGAATACACGCGGGAAAAAACCTTTGGTTGGAATACGTTTACAACAATTACCAGAGAGAGAGAGAGAGACATTGATTGATAAAAATCAGCCGGGGCGAGAGGTCAAAAGAGCGGAGGCTTTGAAAGAACCAAAGTACCATAAAAACAGAAATGCACGAGCGCATCCCTTTTTGCTCACTAATAACTAGCCTCGGGAAGAAGAAGAAGAAGAAAAAAAAAAGTATCTTTCATCAATGCCAGTTCGGTTCATTATTCACTTTTTGCCCTTTGAACCGTTCCCGAGAACCTAGTCCATTAAAAAAAAAAAAAAAAAGAAAAAAGAAAAAAAATAATAGCGCAACAGCACGTCACCGATGATGCATCGTCGATGCGGCGCGAAATTTCTTTCCGCGAAGAATGCGACCGGGAGCCTTGGACTCGGTGCAGGAAAAACAACTCGACCAACACCGGATCCCTTCTGTTTTTTTTTGTTTTTTTTTTTCGCCTCTCCAGACTTACGCAATTCGCCATCCAACTCGTGACATTTTTGTGTCGTCCCTCATACCTACAGAGACCCGGTCACGCGTCCCTCCTCCTCGGCCTTGAACTGCGGATAAAAGGGCCGAAGAAGAAGAAGAAGGAGAAGGAGACCTCAGCTAGCACGTACATCCTCGTTACGGCTCCGAGAAGCGAATGATTTATCGAAGAAATGGATATACAGGCTGGCCGCAAATCGCGTAAATCATAAGGCACAAAACGGTTGGGGAGGGGACAGCAGGTAGCCGCTAAACTCGCCGTTAGGGCCCCCCGACTGACCTCCAATCGAGCTGTCGCTTCTGTCCTTTGCCGTATATACGCATGCCTGCCCGAAGGTTGACTCGCCTTTTTTTTCCGGGGCTCTTTTCCGCGTATAGACGAGCGCACGCGACACAATACGCTAAAACGGGTCGGAAGTCATATTTTACGAGCCCCAAAAATCGGCAGGGGGGTATAGGCCAAGGGAGGACCGACAGTACACCATACTGTATATACATATATATATAATATAGTTGTGTGTACCCGTGCACGCGTCGGTAAGGCCGGGGATGGAGACGTTCGGTCGAGTCTCCGTTCGAAAAAGGATGCGTATCATTATCCGACACGCGCGATTTTTGAAAAATGACGAACGAGCGGATGAACGCTCGCTCATTACAGCCGACTTTCACCTCTGGACTCTATTGTATAGGCTGGTTGTATGTATATATATTTAAACTAAAGGCGAGTAGTGCTCATATGAACACTTGGCGCGTAAGTACAAGCGGACTTTATTATAAAAGGCCCCCAAACAGGTGGGCTTTTTGCTGCCGGCGCAAAGAACCGAGTGGAGGGCAGGGGGGAATTCTTTGTCGTGCTGGCTCGTTCGATGACTCTCTACGACAATTGAGCTGTTCTCGGGTTGTGGGGTGTCGTCGTAAATTTTGATGACGCGCTTTTGTTCTCTTTGCCGTACGGTAAATGAGGGGTTGTATATATGTATATATATACGCGTTGGACGTGCGAGCGAAACTGGTTCATTGACGAGACAAGAATGGAAAAGGATCATTCGGTCAGTAAAGTCATTTTTCGGTAGAACATTCGCTGACGGGCACTATTTTTCACTATGTATTCCTTTACGAGCATATTCATAACTGTGAAGTTTACACAAGCTTTACACAGTGGGTGATTATCCGCTTGTAAATTCGGTAAACAGGACAACCATTAACTGTAAGCCACATTTACAATTACAATTATTATTTATTAGAAAAAAAAGTTCTATTGTCGGATTTTTTGACGATCGTTCGCGCAACGGGGTATATAATTATGTTACAGCAGAGAAACGAGACATGGTACATGTATGTACAGAGACACGCTGGTATTTGCGTCTCCTTGATCTGAATTCGCTTGAACAGACGATGAGCGCGGCTTAGTCAGATTCGTTTAATTTAAATTTCAAGATCAAATTATGCGCGAGCCGTCGCCGACCAGAAGCCGAGAGTCGATTTTTCGCTTCAGCTGTTACACATACGCTATTACCCTGCACGTCGAGGCAATCACTTCTCGATTTTAAATATTCTATTTATCCCTCCCCCCCCCTCCCATAGCATAGACAATCGTGTATGTACATAATATCTACATGTTTGGTACAACATGTTTCATGTATTCCTCGACTGAATTATAAATACGTGTGTAAATACGTATGTGTGTGCGCGCAAGTGTAAATACCTGCTCGCTTTGCTCAGGAATAAGATACGAAAAATCGACCCGACTTTCTAAAACATTCA